TTTTTTTTCGATAATTCATAATTATCTATGCTTTCTGATTTGTGGTTTTAGATACTTGGTATTATTTTGATACCCGTTTTTAAAAGTGAAATGAGAAGTCCCAGTTGACACTCGATCGTTCTTTTTGGAGAATTGTCATTTTTCAACTTCCTGTACCTTTAAGTAACAAATGATTTCAAGCTTCGACAGTACGTTGTTGTGGGACGGAAATTGCCGTCGGAGAAGGAACCGACACCACCGCTTTACAAAATGCAAATTTTCGCGAGTAATCACGTCATTGCGAAATCACGTTTTTGGTACTTAATTAGTATGCTGCGAAGAGTAAAGAAAGGACAGGGCGAAATTGTTTCGTGTGAAGAAGTAAGCTTTCTTGACTATTTACCAGAATATAGAGTTCAAGAAATAGAACAGCTTAGTTACCAGTACGCATTTAGAATTAAAGTTTTTCGAAATAGATTCTCATTTTCTAATTCTTGAAGTTATGATTGGTGATTTTTAATGTTTTGAGACTTACGTTTCAAAGCATAATAATGTTATTGTTGATTTCATTCTTATTTGAAATCAGCTGTTCTGCTTTGACCCCACAATTCGTTCTTTCGTGTCATTGGTCTTTTAGCGATCGCTGTATTTTGAATTGAAGATTCAACCTGGTACTCAGTTGTTGTTAAGTATACCTCCGGTACCATGTGGGAACTCGTTCTTTCAAAGTTTTGAAGACTTCCTAAGTCTTCTTTCATTTCTGACTCGCTAATGTTTCCAGATATTTGAAAAAAGACCAGGGTATGTGAAAAATTACGGTGTGTGGTTGCGTTATGATTCAAGAACGAATCATCACAATATGTACAGAGAATATCGCGATACTTCGATTGCTGGAGCAGTCACTCAATGTTACCGGGATATGGGTGCTAGGCATCGTGCGCAAGCTGACCGTATTCAGGTTTTGCCTTAATACCTTCTTTTTGTTGCTAACAAATCCTCTAAATTGTTTAACCCTTCTGACCCTCTACTTTACATCTTTTATGATGTAATTTAATTGTATCTCTGTTGCCTTCTTACAGATAATCGAGGTGAAGCCGATAAAAGCGTCGGATTGTAAGCGACCAGCAGTGAAGCAGTTCCATAACTCTAAGATCAGGTTCCCACTGCCACACCGTGTGACCAAAAGAAGGAATGTTTCTGTCTTTGCAACTCGCCGTCCAACAACGTTCTTTGCTTGAAGTTTATCTAAATATAATTGAGTTGAAGTTTTGGATGTATCCCTTGTTATTTGTTGCCAGCGTTTGTGCTATAAACGGTCAGATGTTTTTGGTTGTTTTGCCCACAAGTTATGGCTTTTTGAAATACTTTGGAAGGATTTAAGAGCATACTGGACTGCGAATCTTTGTTTATTTCAAACTCCATTGGCCTTGATTTTTACTATACTAAAGTGGATAATTTACGGGGTGGAATCTAAAGATTATTTCGATGGTTTAACGGCGATGCTGGTGATGCTGGTTAATGGTTTTGTAGGGAAGTGCCTTCAGTGAGTGCCTTGAGCAAGGCAGGTCAGTATTTGCGTGGGTTTCGTTAAGGAATAGTTTATTTTTGGATTTTGATAATTTTAGTACAGTTTAGACAGGTGGCGCGTAAGAAGCCTTTGTGATTTTGCGACTGTGAAGGAAGGTTCTGGGAAGGTTTCTGGTTACAGAGAGGTTGTAGTAGTTGTCATTTAAATTGTAAGATTCATGTAGGGGGGATTTAGGGTAGTGGATAATGTTTTTCACGTCAAAAATGTGACTGTTTTCTGTTGCTAAAAGACAGGAGGAGGGAAAGTGATTCGTGATATTTTCACGAGAAATTTTCAAATTTTGAGGAATTTTGCGCGTCTGAGATGTAAACTTACTAGTGTCAAATGGTTCAGATGATTTTTGCTGTGAGGTCAGGAGCACAGTTTTGGGTTTCTCTTTGTTTCCGCATAGGTCGGACAGGGTGTTTGATCAATGTTTTAGAATCAGTTATTCATGCGGTATCAGTGGCACTCAACACCGCATTTAGTGTTTTGATTATCTTTTAGTTTTTGGTGGTTGCAGAAATTGAGTTGTTGAAGAGATGGTGAACGTAAAGAAAGGTGTCCTGATACAATGCGATCCAGCAATGCGCCAGTTATTGGTACATTTGGACGAACAACGGTCATTGGGTACGAAGTTCGTTGTTAAGGAATTAGACGAAACTCATATTTTCGTGGATCGAGAAATAGTTCCGGTTTTGGAAGCAAAGATAGATCAACTGATGGATTCACTGGCTCCAGAATTCGAAAAATAAGGCTATTAATCTTCTCCAAGGTTTTCTTACCGGCGTTGCTGAAATGAATGTTTAAGAGATCAGATGTTTCTCCAGCGCTCGTCTTGTCGACACCTGTGATGTAACTGTAATCCTTAAAAATTAATTGAAGTTATCACTTGTTGAGAACTTTGAATTTACCTTTCAATTAAATTTGACAGAATGGTATGGAAACGGGTTGTGAACATGATTTTGAGAATGGTGTATTTTATTTTTAATAATGCAATAAAGATTTCGATTTTTTTTGAACGTTGCAGAGCGAACGACATTCTGGGACAGATATTATTGAGCGTGAGGGAGGAATGCGGAACAAATTCTTCAGCAACGTATGGTTTAAGTTTTTACTGGCATATAATCTAAGGGAAGTGTTTCTAGTCAGCTGACCGGCGATGGCAATTGATTTGATCCTTCAGCTTTATTTCATCTAGTCAAACGTTTAGTTGTTTAGCTAAATGAATAAAATTTACGACATCACATTCATTCACAATTGAACTGCACAGTTTTTTGGTTGGAAAGGGGTAGATGAACATTCCCGAGAAAATTGAAAGATTTTAACAAAAAATTTTGCTCAAAATATAAGTAATTGGAAATTTAATAGATTGAGCTTCAACTTTATTTAATAATAGAAATCGACGGATTCAGAGAAAAAATACATCTACCGCAGCCACAAATGGAAAGCTTTTCTCTCTGATAACAGTTTATAAAATAAAGTAAGTGTTGTAATATGAATATTCAAAGTCATTGATGATGAATCAGTGAGAGAATTTTCTTGTTGGTTTCTTTTCAATAACATACAAAGCAACAGTACTGTTTC